GGAGAGAAACCCTACACATGTGAAGAATGTGGCAAAACCTTTAGCCGCTTCACAACCCTTGCTAACCACAAGAGAATTCATACTGGTGAGAGACCCTACACATGTGAAGAATGTGGCAAAGCCTTTAGCCACTTCACAACGCTTACTAACCACAAGAAAATTCATACTGGAGAAAGACCCTACACATGTGAAGAATGTGGCAAAGCCTTTAGCCGCTCCACAACCCTTACTAACCACAAGAGAATTCATACTGGAGAGAGACCCTACACATGTGAAGAATGTGGCAAAGCCTTTACCTTCTCCTCAACTCTTAATACTCATAAGAGGATTCATACTGGAAAACCCTACAAATGTGAAGAATGTGACAAAGCTTTTAAGTGGCCCTCAGGTCTTGCTAGTCATATGATAATCCATACTGGAGAGAAACGCAGTGAATGATGTGGCAAAGTCCAACTCTTGGGCCTTATAATACATAAAATAATTTACACTGGAAAAAATCACTACAAGTGTGGAGAATATGGGCAAGCCTTTAACCAGTTCCAAACTTTCATTGTACATAAGAGAATTCAGCTTGGACAAAAACCATAAAAATATAAAAAAGAGTAACAAAGCCTTTAATCAACTCTCAAACTTTAAGGAATCTAAGAGAATTTGTTTTTTAAAAACTCTTTCAAATGGAGTCTCACTTTGTTACCCAGGCTGGAGTGCAGTGGCACAATCTCAGCTCACTGTAACTTCCATCTCACAGGTTAAAGCAATACTCCTGCCTCAGCCACCTGAGTAGCTGGGATATCAGGCATGTGCCACCACACTGACTGATTTTTGCATTTTTAGTAGCAAAATACAAAAATGGTGGAAAAAAATGTGGCAAAACATTTAACTGGTTCTCCATCCTTATTAATTAAAAAATGTTTTACTGGAGAAAAATCACATACATAAAAAATGTGATAGAGCATTTAAACACACCTCAAACTTTTCCAAAAAAGAGAAATTATACTGGGAGAAACTCTGGAAATACGTCAAATGTGGCAAGGCCTTTAAATGGTAGTCACACATTATAGTAGGTAAGGTAATTTATACTGAAGAAAACTCCTATAAATATGAAGAATGTTGCAAAACTTTTGACAAATTGTCCCACCTTATTGCATAGGAAAGCATTTATACTAGAGAAACATTGTACAAATGCAAAGAATGTGAAAAGCCATTAATACCTGCTCACATCTTACTCAGTATCAGAAAGTTTGTGCTTAATGAAAGCACTATAGGCCAGGCATGGTGGCTCACACCTGTAATCCCAGCACTTTGAGAGGCCAAGACAGGTTGATCACGAGGTCAGGAGTGCAAGATCAGTCTGTTCAACATGGTAAAACCCAATCTCTACTAAAAATACAAAAGTAAGTGGGTTGTGGTGGCATGCACCTGTAATCCCAGTTACCAGGGAGGCTAAGGCAGGAGCATTGCCTGAATTTGGCAGGCAGAGGTTGCAGCAAGCCAAGATTGAGCCATTACATTGTAGCCTGGGTGACAGGGCAAGACTCCATCTCAGGGGAAAAAAAATCATTAGAAATATTGTTACTGTAAAATGACCTTTCAGAAAATGTAGGTCTTTAAAGACTGTTTACTCTGAAGACAAACATTACAAACAGGATTGTAATGTCCTTACTTGTATTACAGATTTTATTGTACACATTTTACATTAAAGGAAAACCCCAAAGAAGATGCTCAAACTTTATGAAACATCAGGGAATTTATACTTGAGAGAAAGCCTAAAAATGTAATGAATGTGAAAATATAAAAATGTAATGAATGTGAACAAACTGTAGTTAGTTCAAAAACTACAGTTTAGAAAACACCCATTAATATATTTCTGCAGTTGCAGTAAATGGGGAAAATGAATTTAATCAAACAATAAGTTTATATATACCTTTGAGGATTCACAGCAGAAAGAATGAAGACTCTGCAACTTCAGACGTTACACTAAACCAATGCTGAGGATAAAAAGGACCCAAAGCTAACTATATATATTTTAAAGAAGCAGATTTTTTTTGGAGATTTATAATAACATTCAAGATATGTTTCTTTTTCTGTAAAAAAACTACAGATTTTCTAAAAAGCAAATAATATTGTAACTCGTTACTTAATGTTGATTCTTTCTTCCCATTGTTTATGTAAAAGTATTTGATTAATTATTGCATCAGAGATATGAGAGATTGTTTTTTATTAGGTGACCATTATTCATGAACTTTTCTATAGAAGAATAAGGACACTAAGTTGTAAGATGCATAATGAAAACCTAAATGGAGAGGCTCTTTGTGGTTGACTTACAACATTGTTTTAGTGATGGATAAGGTGGTTGTTCCGAGTAGTATTCTGAATTCTAGTGAAAGAAAAAACTTTGAATATTAATAGTAAATTATTTTATCAATTGTACCTGTAGGTAATAAAATGCAATAAATTTAAATTTTTTTAAAGATTATATGTGAATTCAGTTTTTCATTAAACAAAGTTGTTTTTAATGTGTTATACCTGTTGTGCTTTGAATGAACTGTTAATTTGCTATGAACTTTAATGTGTTCCATCTTACTTGAGGTTCTAAATAAAAGATGGTAATGCTATACTGTTTGTTAATGTAGGGGAATGACATCTGTAGTAAGCTCTTTTTTTTGCCAGTGTTTTGTTTGTTTCAAGATGGAGTCTTGCTCTGTTACCCAGGCTGGAGTGCAGTGGCACGATCTCGGTTCACTGCAACCTCCACCTCCTGGGTCCAAGCAATTCTCCTACCTCAGCCTACTAAGTAGCTGGGATTCCAGGCATGTGCCACCATGCCGAGCTAATTTTTGTATTTTTAATAGAAACAGGGTTTCACCACATTGTCCAGGCTGATCTCAAACTCCTGACTTCAGGTGATCCACCCACCTCAGAGTCTCAAAGTGCTGGGATTACAGGAGTTGAGCCACCAGGCCTGGCCTGCCAGTGTTTTCAAATTGCAAATAAGTTTAAGAATGTTGTCCCCATAGATCAAATTGTATTCTTTTTTACCTTAATTTTTTTTTTAATTTTTGTGGGTAAATAGTGTGCCTACACACTTATGGCATATATGAGATATTTTAACAGGTATACAATATTTAATTATCAAAGCTGAGTAAATGAGGTATTCATCATCTTGGGCTTGTACTTTTTTATTACAGAGAATCCCATTATATACTTTTAGTTATTTCAATATGTGCAAGTGAATTATTATTAGCTGCAAGGTCATTTTTATGGTCATAAAAATTACATGGGTTTAATTAATATCCATATATTTCTGAGTCTTGATTAAACATTTTTAAACATTTGTTTTATATATTTTTTGTACATGTGGCCTCTCTGCTGACAAAAACACTTTCAGTTTTGATTTACATAGAGTTACATATACAAATATATTACTCAAAAGATATACCAGTTGGGCACAGTGGCTCATGCCTTCTCTTTAAGAGGCAAAGGTGAGTGAATCATTTGAGGTCAGAAGTTCAAAGCCAGACTGGTCAACATGGTGAAACCCCCTCTCTACTAAAAATACAACAACAAAAAAAAAAACAGCTGGGTGTGGTGATGTACACCTGTAGTCCAAGCTACTCAGAAGGCTGAAGCAGGAGAATTGTTTGAACCCAGGAGATGGAGGTTGCAGTGAGCAGAGATGGTGCCACAGCACTTCAGCATCAGTGATAGAGTGAGACACTGTCTCAAAATAAAAATATGTATATATACATGTATAACTTAAGTGTAAGAAAGTCATGTAGCAAGTGATAGTGTTTATGAGTTTGTATGCATTTCAGAAGAACAATATGTGAAACAAAAAAATCATTTTAATAAGGTGGATAATTAACTAGAAACCTGGAAACCTCAGAGATTCAGAAAAACATGTTTTCTGTGTCTACTAAAAGCACAAAAATTAGCTGGGTGTGGTAGTACATGCTTGTAATCCCAGCTACTTGGAAGGCTGGGGCAGGAGAATCTCTTGAACTTGGGAGGCAGAGATTGTGGTGAGCTGACATTGCACCACTGCACTCCATCCTAGGCAACAAGGGCAAAACTGTCTCAAAGAAATAAAGGAAGGCTGGGCGCGGTGGCTCACGCCTGTAATCCCAGCACTTTGGGAGGCCGAGGCGGGTGGATCACGAGGTCAAGAGATCGAGACCATCCTGATCAACATGGTGAAACCCTGTCTCTACTAAAACTACAAAAAATTAGCTGAGCATGGTGGCGCGTGCCTGTAATCCCAGCTACTCAGGAGGCTGAGGCAGGAGAATTGCCTGAACCCAGGAGGCGGAGGTTGCGGTGAGCCAAGATCGCGCCATTGCACTCCAGCCTGGGCAACAAGAGTGAAACTCTGTCTCAAAAAAAAAAAAAAGAAATAAATAAAGGAAAAGAAAAAAAAGAAGCATGTAACAACAAAAAAAAAACAACAAAATTATTCATCAAAACCCAAGAGAAGACAGCATGAAAAGTAAAACAAAGAGGCACAAAAGTAATTGCAGTTTTTGCCATTAAAAGTAATGGTAAAAATACTAAAGTGTAACACTAAATGGTTAGACAACAATTCACAAAATGGCAGTAAGTTCTTACCTATCAATTTTTAAAATATCAAGTAGTTTAATTAAAACACATTGCTATGTTTTGAATGTCCCCTTCAAAATTAATGTTGCAATTTAACTGCCATTGTAATAAAATTATAAAGTTTGACCTTTAAGAAGATATTAGGTCATGCAGGACCTACTCTTATAAATGAATTAATGTCATTATTTCCAGAGTGGGTTACTTAGCAGGAAAGTAGGTCTATTATAAAAGCAAGCTCTGTGACACCAGGTGTAGTGGCTTATGCTTGTAATACCAGCATTTTGGGAGGCCCAGGTGGGCAGATCACAATGTCAGGAGATGGAGTCCAGCCTGGCTAACACAGTGAAACCCCATCTCTACTAAAAATGTGAAGAATTAGCCTGGCATGGTGGCACGCACCTGTAGTCCCAGCTACTCTTAAGGCTGAGGCAGGAGAATTGCTTGACCCTGGGAGGTGGAAGTTGCAGTGTGCTGAGAATGAATCATTGCACTCCAGGCTGGGTAACAAAGAAAAACACCATCTCAAAAAAAAAAAAAAAAAAGCTCTGTGGTGTACGCCTTTTGTCGTCTTCATCTTCGTGCCTTTGGTCATTTTGTGATGTGGAAATATGATTCTAATCAGATGTCAATAACATGCTCTTGGACTTCCACAATATAAAATTGTGAGCTAAGTAAACTTTTATTCATTATAAAATACCAACTCTAGGATATTCTGTTATTAAAGCAGAAACTGAAATAAAAGATTCACACAATGTCTAAATAGATTTTTTAAATTAAATATGCTTCACACAAGTTATTTATTTTAGATTTAAGGGCACACATAGGTTAATGGTTAAAAAATTTTAAAAACCCATACCAATAATTGAAAGACTGTAAGAGTGGCTGTATTTATATCAGACAAAATAGACTTCTAGAAAAAAACATCTGTCCTGAGAGACAAGATCAGTCTGTAATAAGAGGATGATTTGTCAAAAGGACATGATTAAAAAATATTTGCACCAGGCATGTGCACTGGGCGGCCGGGGTGCATTGCTGCTCCGCGGCACCAGCGCCGGGGTCCAGGAGGCCACCCCATGGGGCAGCGGGTGGCTGGGGCGCCGAGGGTCAGGTAGCAACAGCTGGCGGCGGTGGGGCCTGCGGGGTCAACGGCAGCGAACAGCATCGGTGTTTTCTGGCCAAAGTTCTCATTTACCGACTGCGGAAATGGAACAGGAAAACATGACGGTGAATAAGGAGTTGAGTCCCAGTGCAGCTGCGTAGGGCTGCTCGGCCTGCCACGGTGACAAGACCTGGAGTTACAGCCACCCCAACCAGGGCTGTGCCAAGTCTCGGAGCCTGTCTGCCTCGCCCGCCTTGGGGAGCACCAGGGAGTTCAGGAGGACGCGCTCTCTCCATGGGCCCTGCCCGGTGACCACTTTTGGACCAAAGGCCTGTGTGCTGCAGAACCCCCAGACCATCATGCACATTCAGGACCCCTCAAGCCAGCGGCTGATGGAACAGGGCTCTGAAGAGCGTCCTTGGCATCAAGAAGATGAGAGATGCCAGCCTGCTGCAGCCGTTCAAGGAGCTCTGCACATACCTCATGGAGGAGAACAACATGATCGTGTATGTGGAAAAGAAAGTGCTAGAAGACCCTGCCATCACCAGCGATGAAAGCTTTGGGACAGTGAAGAAGTTCTGCACCTTCCCAGAAGATTATGATGACATTTCCAATCGGATAGACTTCATCATCTGCCTGGGGGGAGACGGGACACCGCTGTAAGCTTCCTCACTCTTCCACGGCAGTGTGCCTTCAGTCATGGCCTTCCACCTGGGCTCCCTGGGCTTCCTGACCCCGTTCAGCTTTGAGAACTTTCAGTCCGAAGTTACTCAGGTGATAGAGGGGAACGCAGCTGTTTTCCTCCGGAGCCAGTTGAAGGTCAGAGTGGTGAAGGAGCCCCGGGAAAAGAAGACGGCCATGCACAATGGGCTGGGTGAGAACGGCTCACGGCCTGTGGGTCTGGACATGGATGTAGAGAAGCAGGCCATGCAGTACCAGGTCCTGAACGAGGTGGTGATCGACAGAGGCCCCTCCTCCTACTTGTCTAATGTGGACGTCTACCTGGACGAACACCTCATCACCACGGTGCAGGGCGACGGAGTGATCGTGTCCACCCCGACGGGCAGCATGGCGTATGTGGCCTTGGCCAGGGCCTCCATGATCCACCCCAACGTGCCGGCCATCATGATCGCCCATCTGCCCCCACTAGCTGTCCTTCTGGCCCATTGTTGTCCCTGCAGGGGTTGAGTTGAAGATCATGCTGTCACCTGAAGCAAGGAACATGGCATGGGTGTCCTTTGACGGACGGAAGAGACAAGAGATCCGCCACGGAGAAGCATCAGCATCACTACCTCATGCTACCCGCTCCCCTCCATCTGTGTACGGGACCCCATGAGCGACTGGTTTGAGAGCCACGCCCAGTGCCTGCACTGGAACATCTGGAAGAAGCAAGCCCACTTTGAGGAGGAGGAGGAGGAAGAGGAGGAGGAGGAGGGCTAGGTCTAGGCTCGTCCAGGCCCGAATCCTTCCGCTGTCTGTTTTTCTGCTCTCCATGCACCCTCAGGGGACAGACCAGTCTGTGTGTGTCTGTGAACACCTCTGTCTAAATGGCACGACCACTTCCTTTCTGTAGCTGGGTTAGAACCTGGGTTAGAACCTGAGTCTGCCTTGTGTCCAGATCAGCTATTTTTTAACATTTTAAATCTGACTTTTTTTGCATTTCTAAGGAAGCAAAGTGAGAAATGGGCTGGGACCTCTTTTGTCCTGCTGACTCCCTACCCCCTTTCCCCCCTCGCCCCCATGGGTCCCCGGAGCATGGCCTCCAGCTGCTGGAATTCCACGCCAGATCAGTCAACTGAAATTCAGAGGGGTCAGAGTGACTCGACCTGTCCTTCCATATTGACGATAAATGTCTCACTCAAAAAAAAAAAAAAAAAAATATATATATATATATATATATATATATACACACACACCTAACATTAGAGCACATAAATATATAAACATATTTAAACAGAACTTCAGAAAAAAGACAAATATGACAATAATAGAGGACTTTATTACACTACTTAAAATGAGAGATTATTCAGACAGAAAGCTAGAAAGAAAAAAATGTGTTTGCATAGCACTATAGAACAATTGCACCTACCGGACATATATAGAATATTTCATGTAACAGTAGGAGAATACACATTCTTATCAAGCACAAATGGAACATATTATCCATAATAGATCATATGTTGGGCCAAGAAAACCAAAGTGTTTTCAAATTTTAAAAGGTTAAAATTACATCAACTTTTTTTTTGGTTTTGAGACAGAGTCTCGCTCTGACACCCAGGCTGGAGTGCGATGGTGAGATCTTGGCTCACTTCAACCTCCACCTCCCAGGTTCAAGTGATTCTCCTGCCTCAGCCTCCCAAGTAGCGGAGATTTCAGGCATGCACCACCATGCCCAGCTAATTTTGTTTTTAGTAAAGATGAGGTTTCACCATGTTGGTGAGGCTGGTCTAAAACTCCTGACTTCAGGTGATCCACCCATCTTGGCCTCCCAAAGTGCTGGGATTACAGGCATGAGCCACCACACCCCACTGTTTCAACTTTTTAAATTATAATTTAATAAAACTAGAAATCAATTGCCAAAGAAAAAATTGAAACCAAATATGTGGACAGTAAACAATATGTTCCTGGACATCCAGTGGGTCAAAGAGAAAAAGCAAAGGGAAATCAGAAAGTATATTGAGAAAAAAGAAAATAGAAACACTTGTATACAATAACTTCTGGGGTACAAAAAAAAAACTCACAAAACAGTTCTAAAACAAAAGTCTGTAGTGCCATATTTCTATATTAAGAAAAAGGACAATATGTTAAATAAAAAACATAACGTTAATCCACAAAATACTTTAAAAAGAACAACTAAATAATTCCAATGTTTGCATAATAAAGAAAATAATAGACTGGATTCTGTGGTTCATGCCTGTAATCCAAGCACTTTGGGATGCCGAGGTGGGAGGATCACCTGAGGTCAGGAGTTTGAGACCAGCTTGGCCAACATGGGGAAACCCTCTCTCTACTAAAAATACAAAAATTAGCCAGGTGTGGTGGCAGGTGCCTATAATTTTAGCTACTCCAGAGACTGAGGTAGAAGCATCAGGAGGCAAAGGTTGTGGTGAGCCAAGATCCCACCACTGCACTCCAGCCTAAGTGACAAAAGCTAAACTCCATCTCAAAAAAAAGAGAGAAAGAAAAAGAAAAAAATTAAAGCAGAAATAAATTTCATAGATACTTAAAAAACAAGCAGAAAAAGAATTTACATATAAAACGTATCTAAACATTTTAAGAAAAAGATGAGTAAATTCCCTTTTTTATTTTTAAGTTGATTAAGTCTCTTATTTTTATTTTGTATATATGCTTACAATAAGCAGGTCCAAATAATTTATCCTGAACTCATGGACATTTGGTTTCCAGTAGGGTTTGTATTTAGGCACCAGAGGTGTAGCCTTGGGATTGTGAAGGAACATTTGTGGAAAACAAAAAGGTGGAATAAGAGAACATGCTATAAAAAGCCTTTAGGGCTGGGTGCGGTGGCTCACTCCTGTAATACCAGCAGTTGTGGAGGCCAAGGCAAGTGGATCACCTGAGGTCAAGTTTAAGACCAGCCTGGCCAACATGGTGAAACCCGGTCTCTACTAAAAATAGAAAAATTATCTGGGCATGGTGGCATGAGCCTGTAAACCCAGCTACTCGCGAGGCAAGAGAATCTCTTGAACCCGGGAGGCAGAGGTTGCAGTAAGCCGATATCCAGCCACTGCACTCCACCCTGGGTGACAAGAGTAAAACTTGGTCTCAGGAGAAAAAAAAAAAAAGAAAAGAAAAGAAACCTATGGGTAGGGAACAGTACACAGTTGGTGAAAAGACTGGTTAGTGCTGCAGTTACTGATCCAGGCAGGTGGGGTAGCTCTGACTTATAAATGTGTGCATTATAAGTCACAGGAGGGACAGAACCTAGGCTAGTGGAGAAAACAGGTCACTGGTGCAGATTCAAGATCTGGGCATAAAAGTAAGCCATGAATCCTCTGGGAACTTACGTAGCCTACTGGCAGAAAACTCTAGAAGAACAAGTTCTCTCAGCACAATTTCTGAGGGTGAAGCCTTGTCATGGGAGGGGTGTAGCTATATCATTGCCCAGTGCGCCTGTATGTGAGTATGTAGGAATCACTTTACAGCAGCAGAGTGAGAAGTGGAATCTGCCCTCACAATTCCTTTCCTTTTAGTTCTCAGCCCCCTCTGAACCCGGATGAGACCTGGAATCACAGGACAGTTCACAATGCAACAGCATGTGTGCAGAAGAATATAGTCTCCATTCCCCAAAAGACTCACAGTCTTCCTCCAGCCAAGGCTGCTGGGATGTCTTTGTTTTCACACCAAGTATACAGCTGCTGAACACCAGGAAACTCTTCACCAACTGGGTGTTCAGCAACTCAATTCTCACAGAATCCAGAGTCACCATAGGCCCGACCACCACAAGCCTCAGTTCCTCAATACAGTGCCTACTGCACACGCCAGTGACAAGCACCAGGGGCCCATCTATACCTCTAAGCCACTATCTGTAAATCATGGGCTTTTATAGACTTCTCCCTGAAGTTTAATAATTTGATGAAACTACTCACAGAACTTCACAAAACACTCTACCTGTGTTTACCAGGTAAACATCAAGAATACAATTCAGGATATGCCAACTGGAAAAAAAAAGTATAGGGCGCAGAAAATTAGGAGAAAAAGAAAAGTGGGTAGTGAGTTCCAGGTGAATAGCTACAATTAAGAAAAATCTCCAATGCTTTGTGTTCTGCAAGAACAACTTACTGCAAAGAAATACCCTTACCATTATGACTTATTTTAGACATTCCCTCCTTTAGATATCACATATTCTACATTCCCATTGTTCTTCATAAATACTGTAAACTTGTCTTCAGGGTTCAGAAGAAAATACTTGTTAAGCAAACTTTGCTTAAGTTTCTCTCTTTCCCCCAGAGCTCTGGACTCTGCTCCATATCCAGTCTGAGCAAACACACAACCCCTCTTCATGTCCCTCTCAAAAATAGGCAGACTTTGGGGTGCAACGTTCTTGAATCTTGTGTTGATTTTGCCACCCTCCATTCTTCCCCTCCTCTCCCACCTTCTGTCTCATCTTCCTTGCTCCTCCATATGAATTGACAGCCCTTTTCAGTTTAACATTAGAAACATTTGCAGATATTAAGTTTAGTGCTTCCCTCATTGCAACACTACTTTACTTATTACTTTTTTGAGAGAGCGTCTCCCTCTATCACCCAGGCTGGTGAGCAGTGGCATGATCTCAGCTCACTGCGACCTCTGCCTTCTGGGTTCAAGCAAATCTTCTGCCTCTGCCTCCTGAGTAGCTGGGACCCACCACCACAGCCAGCTAATTTTTTGTATTCCTAGGAGAAACAGTGTTTCACCATGCTTACCAGGCTGGTCTTGAACTCCTGACCTCAAGTGATCCACTCACCTTGGCCTCCCAAAGTGCTGGCATTACAGGTGTGAGCCACCAGGCCCAGCCACAGTACTTGGGAATAAAGTTACTTCTTACCTACATCTAAATTTATTTTAATTGACTCTATGTAAAAACAGCGCCAAAACAATAACAATTTCATCCTGATAGAGGACATCACAACCCTCCTGCCATCTCAACTCTCACTGCATCTGCCTGTGGATCCCCACAGTTGAGATGGTGACATATACTTTGACTCAGCTTACAGACATTACAATAACTCTTACACATAGGAAAGCCAAAGAGAGAGATTTTGACTCTCTCTTTCCTGGAAGTGTCCACTTATTCCCCTGAATTAAAAACAAAACAAAACAAACAAACAACAAACAAAGTTTAGAAGTGTTGGTTTCAGAGTTGGTTTTGGAGCAAGACATATGCTGCAAAGCAGTAATATCTTGCTGTAAGCTTTCTCACTCCCCCTGAAGCAGCTATGTTGAATCAGATCTGTTTCAACATGCCCACTCTAAATAACAGCTCAGACATTTTCCTACAGTTTTTAGCTAATATATTTTGATTTTCTTCTCTTACATTGTAATTTATGTTCTTTTAGTTCTTTAATTAATTACTAGTCAATTAGATTGAGCTAATAATACACTATAAAAATAATTGCTTATAATTCTGTAAGTTTTCCTTTATGTATTTTGAGCATATATTATTAGGGGTATGCAATTTTTGAAATGTTATATCTTCCCGGGAGATTGGCAATTATTATACAATTTTAGTTTTCCTTGTTAGTTTTGCATTATTTTATTATTCTTTTTGTGATATCCCTAGGAACTGCAGTGTGTATCCTTGACCCACTGGTACATATCCTAAATTAGTACATTTATCACTTTAATACAAGTTGTATCTAAAGTTGCAAGGACCTTAGAACGTTTGACTCCATTTACCTCACTCCCAACTTTTGCGCAATTGTTTTCATTTATTTCTTAGTAGATTTAAGAACCTACCAAACATTATAAACATTTATTATTATTAGATTAAAATACAATTGTTATTGAGATTAATCTACACATTCGCTATTTCCAATGTTCCTTACTCTTCCATCACTGTTCCTCCATTTGAAACCATATTTTTATGGTCTGAATAGTTTACTATAGAAATTCTTTTTTTTTTTAATTTTATAGCATTTTAGGTTGTGGGGTACATGTGAAGAACATGCAAGATTGTTGCATAGGTACACACGTGGCAGTGTGATTTGCTGCCTTCCTCCCAATCACCTACATCTGGCATCTCTCCCCTTGCTATCTCTCCCCAACTCCCCACCCCCCACCGTTCCTCCCCTATTGCCCCCCAACAGACCCCAGTGTGTAGTGCTCACCTCCCTGTGTCCATGTGTTCTCATT